GAGAGTCGAGTTATGGGGAAGAAGCTGTATCTGATCATCAGTATGGAGAAGAAAGCCGTGATAGAGGGTCTTGGCCTAGTAACAAAGAAAAAGATAGAGGCTCAGAACGAGATTGGTCTGGTTCTTCAGATAGAAGACCTAGAGACGATAGAGAACCTTCTTATGACAGAGATAAGGCTAGAGATAAGAATACAGGGCATGAGCCTGATTGGCAAGAAGAGAGGCGACGCCAAGATGATAGAGACGTTGGACGAGAGAGGGTGAGAGAGAGTGATCGTGACCATAGTCGCAAACGCTCTAGAGATCGTGATCGCGGCCTTGAGAAGGATCGAGGTAGTGATCGGGAGCGTGACCGTCATAGGGATGATAGAGATAGATATGCTGATAATCATAGGTACAAGGACCGCGAGCAAGAATATGATGATGAATGGGACAGGGGAAGATCATCAAGGACACACACCAAATCACGGTTATCGCATGAAGATGATTCACGGTCAAGGTCAAGGGATGTAGATTATGAAAAGAGGCGTCGTCTGACTTCTGATTGATCTGTTGACCTACTGCTTTTTCTAGGATAACTTTGGCTGTTTTTCTTTCAGTATTCCTTTTGCAAGGAGCATCGTCACTAAGCATTAAGATGGCGTAAGTTCAAGATTTCACCCTTCCTTTTCGCCTTTGGTTGTTAGTTCTATATGTGTTTACTATCTCTTCCCCTTTGAAGGAAGATATTCAGTGTAGGAAATCCGTCTTAGAACCATAACCATCGTGTTCTCTTTTCTAAATAGTATTAGGTGTCTGCTACTGCTAATTAGATGCCATATCTGTGAGCTTTAATTTGTTCTACGAAAATGATGTCGTTCACTAAAAAGTATAAGGCTGTTCCCGTATGTGTGCTTGTAGTGGATAGTTACAGAATATAGTTATCTCATTTAGTTCAAAAGTTGCCCATGGTAGTCAAGCCTTTGGCACATTCATACTGATCATTAATAGGCGGCCTTATTCTTAAAACTTACCTCATAAATTAATGCATATGAAACAGAAACCTGTCTATAAGGATTATATTGCATAATATTGAATATACTCTACTTTCATAGGAAAATTTATGTTATTTTCATTCTGAAAACAAGGCGGCAGCTTATCATTTCCAAAAATAAGTCAGCAGCTTTCTCTTTTCTTTGCACAATTCAGTTGCTATTGATATTAGTGGAGCTGATTTATATGTGTAGTTAATCATTATAACAGCATTTTTGAATTATGAGTATTATGTGGCCTTTTGAAAGCATCCGTCAAAATTTTGATGTGTTAAAATTATCTATTTGTCAACCAATAAAAAAATATCTTTTTCCTGTTCAAAATAGACACTTTCTAGCTCCAACAAGAATCATGTTTTACGGTTTAATAGTAGAACAAAAGACCCTTTACTGGATTTTTTTTTATATTGAAGTCAAGATTAGAATTACCACATTAACTAGAAGGTGCAAGTTAACATACATTGAGGATAAAATGAGAGAAGATCTATTGAGATGGTTTGATAATGTCTTGCGTTGACCTCTAAATGCACCGTATTGTAGGTGTGAAGCTATGGTGAGGGAAGGTGTTAAAAAGGGATTAGCGAGACCTAAAATCACGTGAAAGAAAGTTGTCGAAAGACGTACAATCTCTTGGAGTTCATGTTGATTTAGCGAAAAATATGACACAATGAAAGAAAAGAATTTATATAGGTTAGACCGCGTAGTTGGGAATATGCTTTAGTCATGTTACTATACTATGTTTACCTTAAGTACTATGCTTTCTAGGAGCCTTTTTGCCTTGTCAAAGAGATATGTCGGTAGAAAATATAGAGAATTCCTAGTGCTTTTTATTTTTAATTTTTTTGGGTCAAAATAAAAAAAAATATTCAACTAAGTAGCAGTATATACAAGCTAGCTTATTTGACTCTAGAGCTAGACCATACAAAAATAACCAAAATAACAGCTCGCAGTGCTATCAGGGATTTACACTTAGCACTTTCTAGAAAGGGTACAATTGAAGTCTCCACATCCAGCAGCAAGACAGTTAGCTAACAAGGAAAACTATTCAACCTATCTAATATTTATAGTGCCTTTGCCTTACAATATGTAACTGTAAAACTATGTTTTTGATCTTCTCAAAACTCTCTCTACTCTTCTGTTGGAATCTGCAGTTGTTCCTCTCAGTCCAGGTGTGGTATATACTAACAGCCTAAGTTGCTGGGACTCTTCACTTTCGGTGCCTCGCCCGTGTCGACACGACGTGGGTGTAAGTGTGGGTGTGCGATCCGTATTTTGGGTATTTTGACTAAAATCAATGGAGAAGTTCGGGTCAGATACAATGATTTCTGAAATTGAAACAAATAAGTAGGGTAAAATTGAAGAAAATGGCATACCTTGTATATGGAAATTTCTATATCAGTTTTTTTCTTTTTATCTCCTTTTAGGATTCTCCTCTTGATCAATATTTTGAACTTCCCGGAATACCTTGTAAGTTTCCTACATGATGTCTTAGAACTTAGACATATTTTTATAACACTATGTTTAGATATTTGAATTATTTTTAGCCGGATTCTCGTACCCGTATCCATATCTGGATCTTAAAATTTAGATCATGAGGGATCCGACCTCTAGATCCGCACTCATATCGGACACCCGCACCCGTGTCCGAGCAACTTAGGACTAGCAACAAAGAGAAACCTCAACAGAACTCCCTTAGACCTACTGTGTTAACTACTGATATGAGCCATTTAGTTTTATCTTCCTATTTTTCAGCATCCCAATTGCCTACTCATGCGCAGCCAATTTAAAAGAGTCTGCCAGATACTCCTCGAGTAAGAACAATCGAAGAATAGATGAGTATGTGATTCCTCAGCATCATAAGCACACAACACAAATTCTTAGCCACATGGACGCCCCATCTACCCAATCTATCCACAGTAGAAAGCCTTCCTTGAAGAGTCAGCCAACGGATACACTGATGCATCCTTTAACCATTGTGAGACTCTTCCAAGGCACTTTCTGATATAATGGAAGGAAAAATCCATAGGCTTTTTTAACTCTGGAAACAGAGTTAGGTGTAAATGCATTCAATGTGAACAGAGATAGCTGTAAATGTATTGAATGTGTTCAATACTGAATTCCCAGAGCTTAGCCAACTTCTGGCATCCAGAACTTTCTTTACCATCCTGCTTGCCTGTTTAGGTATACACATAGTATCCAAATTTTTCCCCTTTATGTAGAAGTTGTGGATCCACAACACCTAGAGCTTATCCTTCTTCTTTGCCCCAGCCCATGGTTACTTACATAGGGCAACTTTGTTCCACAAGAAGAAGTTCAAAATATCTGGATATTTTGAACTTCTTCCTGTTGAACAAAGTTGCCCTATGTAAGTTACCATGGGTTGAGAGGAGTCCAAATGGAGAAACATGGCCAGTGGGATTCATATAGCTGATTACCATGGTTGAGAGGAGTCCAAATGGAGAAACATGGCCAGTGGGATTCATATAGCTGACCCCTACTTGTTTGGGACCGAGGCGTAGTTGATCTATCGAAGGTTTAGACCGTTAGCCACTCCCTTGTGTGGAGGGAATTGGATGTGTATTAATTGATAGATAAAATAATTTGTAGCAATTCCTGTTATTGCTGTTGTTATATTCGGGTTTCCGTACAGTTTGCGTGCTAAATTTACGCATCAATTTAAATTGTTTCACATAAGCATGGATGTAGTCTTTCATTCAGTTATGTTGTTATGGTCATAAATTTGGGTACTGACTGCAAATCTTATCTTTCAGTTTCTTGTGATGATAGCAGAGGAGATATAAGCTTGGCTACTTCTGAAAGAAATATGGTGTGTCTCTCCAAGACGAACCAACCTTGAGTCTTTAGCCCGAGAGAGCATTTTGTGGAAAGATTGATCTGCTTGTGTAACTTTTATCTTAGTTTTTAACCTCTTTTATCTTATGCTTTGGTTGACATTATAATACCCCACGTCTGATGAGTATGACTTGAACATACTGAACTGTGTGATAGATTCTTGTTGAAACTTGCTATTTTGATGTAATGTTTTAGGATTTAATGCTCAGGTTTTTGCTGATCTGCTACCTTCTGGTCTCTTTTAGTCGTCTGTATTATCCTTTGTGTTCTTTAGACCCAGATTTTGTTGGGCACACAATATTCAGCACTCATAGTGTTCTTGTAAAGTGTACAAAGAATTCTAATTATGAAATCAAAATGTTAAAAGTGAACTCTAATTTCACTTCCATTTTTTTTAGAGGCATATACTGTGTCCTTCCCAGTTAAGCTTACTTATATGTTCTTTTGCTCTTTCAATTGACGAAAAATAATTATGTAGGCAGTGCATATTGTCAAAAGTAGAGGGGCACTGTATCATTTCTACGTCAATTTTAAGTGTTGTCTAGACCTTGATGGGCAAATTTACTTGGTACCGGTGTTTGTGGAAGGTAATAGATATCCTGTGACATAATCAAGGTGCATTAGTTCCCCTTTTAGTATATGATTTAAAACAATGTTTTTTGTTACGATATTACCTTCTTCGCATTTGTGTAGAAGCTTTCTATTTAATTCTTTTTGGGGTTGACATAGTTTCAATTTCAATATGCACAAATAAATTTATATGCTATTGCAATAACAAAGTGTCCCTAAATTGTATTTCCAGTTTTTTCATGTAGTTTATTCCATCTAATGCCTTTCTATTTCCCCTTCTCCGCTGAGACAACATAGAAACAAACATAAAGGAAGAATTATGGTTTTATTATCGGCCGTAATGTGCTAATAGAATGAATCATGCTGCTCTGTCTCATCCCCGCCATTCTAGTCATTAGATTAGAAATACTACAACCCAGATATTTAACTGCAACAAGACATTTATTTAACTGCAATAACATATTCACCACCTAGTAAGGGCAATCGTTAAGAAATCTTAGAATAGATTTCACAGACATCAGGTGGAATTAGAACTTAGAACATTAGTAGCAGGAATGGCATTTTAGCAATTTGTTCTCAGGCGGTGAGATCTAACACGAAAACCATGATTATGCGAGCCAACCAGCCAACAGGTCGAAAGTCTGTCTACGGGTGTTAAATCATAACACTAGCAACTATAGCACATGAAAAGATCAGTGCTTCCTACAAATGTCTGTTTACACAATAAGCTGCAGTCCTGCACTGAAACCTGGCATTTCTACTTCTATGACTACCTAGCGAGTGAGTTTAACCACAAAGTGGAACGTTAACAATAAATTACAGCTGGTCGAACTCATTAGGGAACACAATTCAGCCATCAACTGAGGAAGAAAGGGTCGGATCTCGAGATAAGACAATATAGGCTACCTTTCCTGGAATGTTCTATATTTTCAGGCCTCTACACCTTGGCCAGAAGGCTGTTTTTCGCCCTCTTCAGCATCTCCTTGTTCTTCCTCTTCCTCTTCCTCGTCCTCGTCATCAGCCTCATCGGCTAACCTAGTGAGTTCATCCTGGATCATATCCTTTACAGATGACTTTCTGGGCGTAAGATCTGTATCATACCGCTTGGCTGAAAATGGAAAAAATTGTGAGTTGAATTCTGAAATTATGACCTCTTAGCAGATGTGATATCAAGTTTCTCAAATTTTTAACTTAGTCAACTAAAACTTATCTTTAAATAATCAACACGATCTCCATATTTTTATCATTGTATAACTAAAGAAGAGCAAAACAATCTTAACAGGACACTTACCGAGTATATTCAGAATGTCAGTAAAGGTAGCCTGCAGCATAAAAAAGAAACGAAGTCAGCCATACGGGAAAGTAAATTCCATCCTAGAACTGTGATGATCAAAATGTGATTGCTCAAAGCACCATCTGAAAAGGTCTAAACAGAAAATAATTCCCCTTTTGCTTCTTTATAATGGTGGTGTCTGGGCCAACTTGCACACGCCTAGACTATTCGACCAGGTACCTACTACCTCCCACCATGGGTAACGAGTAACTCTACGCACAAAAGCTTAGGCATATGGAAAAAACATCTAAACAGGGAAGTTAACAAATGATATCTGCTGACAAGGAGAGAAACAGAGGCCATAAAATTGCAGAACTTATGAACACAACTTTCTAAAAGTTTATTCCTCACCGTGTTAAAGTCAACTTCTTTTAAAATTTCACAAATTGCAGTTCTGAGTTCATCATCGCTTGGCCTCAACTTATCTACTTTGTTACGATCCTTTCCCTTCAGAACCTTTTTCCCTACACATTCAGAAAAGATAATAAAGAAAGGATTTAACCAAAATTATAAATACATAAAGGAGAAATTTATAAAAATAGTCATATAAAAGCTTTGATTATCTTGACAAGAACTTTCTACACACAAAAGGAGTAAACAATGGTTCTCACCAGTATTGTCTTTTGAAGTAGGCTTCTTTGGTGTAGATGACTTTCCCTTAACCACTTCAGTTATTTTCTTCTTTGAATACACTTTGGGAGTTGCATCATTGCTATCATTATGCTTTGAGCTTTTTGATGATTTTGAAGGTGTTTTTTTTGGTGAAGGACTTGGTCGTGTAGAGACTGGAGTTTTCTTGGTTTTAACTTTTCCATCAGGTTCCTTATTTGACAATGATTTGTTTGAACTTTGCTTATTCTTCTTCTTGTCCTTCTCAGACTCATCTTCAGATTCACCATCTTTCTCCTTACTTTCAGGTTGACTTGACGTCTCATCATCTGATCTCTCATGAACACCATTAGCCTTTATCTTTCCCTTCTCCTGTTCATCTTCTTCCTCTGATTCACCTTCTGATTCCTGCATCTTCTTCTTTTTCTCAGCCTTGTTAGATACAGTACTCTCAGTCTTGCGACTCTGCAGAATATATCAGACAGAGAGATCATAATAGGAGAAGTCCCCACAAGCACAAACACATTGTTTCATGAATCTCCCTTTTCTTCTGGATTTTCTCTAGTTTCTTTTTAGAATTTGAAAGGACGAAGCAATCTCAGATGCAAAAGATAAAATATATCATTTAAGGGTTCACAAAATCACGATACCAAAGCACTTGCCATAATAAACAAGAGAATAATGTCAGACACGTATAGCACATATCCTGGCAGGAAAAAACTTAAGCATTTTGTTTGATAACTTTTTCTTCTTCTTTTCAAGAGGCTAAAAAGATTACGCACTCTCTCATCCCAAGACCAGAATTCAGTAGCTTCAGAGGGAAAGCCACTTCAATCAGCAGAATTAGTAATTGACAACTTTAATACCAGTAAGCCAGATGACGTGATTTACCGTATCAAATCTCAAGGGTGTTGATGCAGAAACTTAAATGCAGTAAATGGAAGGTAATAACAGGTAAGACTACAAGCAGATGGTGTCACTAATTTAGTAAGGCCAAACAGGTTACAGCCATTTCACTAGTCGAAGGCTAAAACTTATCCATTAGGTGATGGCTTGCAATTAAATCATGCCCAAATGTTAATAAGAGAGAGTGATACCTTACTTGAACCTTTCAAGCTACCAGTTGCTGACGAAGGACTTTCTTTCCTCACTCTTTCACGCTTCTTTCCTTTACTTGACTGCTTAGTGCACCAGATGAATAAGCATACTATGAAACAACTGTAAGAAGTCACAAATACTTCATTGCAGTCAAAAAGGTTTTGCAACCAACCTGGTCCTTTTCAGCAAGCAACTCAGAAGTCATAGAATGAGGAGCTTCCAGAAAATCCATCAACTGTGATACTATGTCTTCCTGACACATAAAACACAGAATTAGCTAAGAATCTTTGAAGGCAGATAGCAGACAAACACTTAGCTGTAGTGAGCTGCTTAATATGGTCTGAGGTGACAAGTTTAGAACCAACATGTCAAATTTAAAAAGAAAATATACTGGCTAAACAATTTTCAAGGTCAACATTTCCTAGAAGAAGGAATATCTACCCCTTCCATTGGTGTACCCTCATAAGATACAACGACAAAGAAGTAAGAAGAAATAACTAACAACATAGAAAACCTAACATGCAGTGGTAATACATGAACAAACCTTTTTTGATGTAGCCTTAGCAACAGGTATATCTAGTACATCACACAATTCCAACAGCTTCTCTTTTACACATTTGTCAAGCTTTTCTTTTACTTTCATCTTTTGTTTTTCCTGCAACAATGGAGTGGTATAAGACACTGAGCTCAAGCATAATTTTCGGATCATTAGAACGAAGACTACTCAAATCAAATTAAGAGCCCAAGAATGAAACAATGAACAAGATATATTAGCAGCCCCGTATGAGCAAGCAACGAGAAACTTTACGTTCATATATGCCCTATCCCAGCCTACCATAGTCCACACCTGGTACCAAATAAGAAAAAAGGAAGGAAAAAAGGAAGAAGAGGATAGATATCTCTCTTAAGAACTTTCTATAACAGATGACTCATTAATTACCTCATTTTCATGCCAGACAAAGCCAGAAAACCGTAAAATATTACTCTTGAACTGAGCTGCCTGCAAAGGACAAGAACTATAAGCACAAAGTATCAATAGAAAGAGAGTGAAGAAGAAATCAGGAGCAATTAGCACATCGTCCTCAAGAATTCTTGAAGACATTTTTAGTCCCATGAGTCGGGAGCAAGCAACTTACACAAAATTCATAAACAAGAAAAAATGCAGCCAAACTGCTTATAATACTATGCGTCAATACCCAGCAAGTTCTGATAACGGTTCGTGTTATTTAAGCTCTATGAAACCAGAAAAAAGAACACTAGAAGTTTTCTACATTTCCACTGGCATAGAAATCTCAGACAAGACTAAAAGACCCCTACAAAACATTGGACCTAAAATAAACATACTAAGAGCCCGTTTGGATTGGCTTAAAAAAAGTAGCTTTTCAGCAGAAATAGCTTTTAAGCCAAAAAGCAGTAAGTTGGGATTGCCCAACTTATTGCTTTTGGCTTGTTTTAAGCATTTTTTAACTTATTTTAAGCACTTTTTGACTTTGCCAAACACTGAAAAAAGCTAAAAAGAGCTTAAAAGCTGCTTTGACCAGCTTAAAAGCCAATCCAAACACCCTCTAACATGACTAGAACTTAATCTCAACTAATTGGTCTCACCTATACAAACCCACATGTTTAATTTTAAAAAATTTTTGCTTAATTGATAAGAAATTTTTCATATAGAATATTGTCACGATTTTATTTTACTAAAATTTAAAAGAAAATTGATTTGTTAGAACGAGGCGCCCTATATTCATGGTACTCTAGTCATTCTCATGGCCAGCTATTGCTAATACGAGTACTTTCATTTTACATTTGATTCGGCATAAGTAATACAAAGATTCCCACATAAGCTATTTAGGTAAGTGGAAACAAAACATAGGCAGAGATTTTGTTGAGGAGAAATTGATCCAAGTATCCGTGCTCCATTAGTAATGCAAAGTTCTATGCCGAAACCAAACAAGTCCTAGCAGTTCAATTCCAACAAAAATTGGAGAATTGAACAGGTATGACTATCTAAAAGAAGCTCAAGTTTACAAAATTTGACCATAAAATGGACACAGAAGACGCATCAGGAAAATCATAGCTTCCTTCTTCTCTCAAATACATGTCGGTGTCCCCATAGAAGAGAAAATTTAACAGCAATACTGCACCTAACCTTTGTCAGGAAGGGAGAATTAAGAATGTAAAGCATGTGGTTTAGCATGTCAATCAGTAACACAACAGGGTAAGCAGAAACCATACAACAAAGGGAAACCGATCAAAAGAAATAGGCTACAAATCATAATGTCACCTTTCCTCGCCGTCCAAAGAGAGTTGTGTGCAGCAATTTGAGAGTGTCATCAGCCTTCCTTTTGGATAATTTGTATGCCACTGAAGTTACATTAAGAAAAAGGATTTTCCAATAGTTAAATAAAATTTATTTGCAGCAAAGCATCATTTTGGGGGGGGGGGGGGGGTGGAGAGAAACAGAGAAGAGCAAAAAACAACATTGGAAGAGAGAGACACCAAACAACTTAGGTAGCAAAGTGTCAGTGATTAGAACTCGAATAACCACATTCTCATACACGAAGGGGCAAATGAAAGTGGTGCACAGGAAAAGAAAATCGAGTGAGAGGGGTAAAAAAGCAGAGATTAAATCAAATACCTATAGTTGTAGAACATAGACTTGCAGAAAAGAAGAAGGTAATAGAACAAAAAGTCATCAGCCCAATCAGGACTTATGCAGATCTGAACGTACCTCTAATTGGTTAATGATAAAAGCCCATACAACCTAAATGTTAACAAGATAAAATCAAAGTAGGTAGTCGTGTATCCTTTGTCAGATTCTAACAGACTGAACTACTATTCAACTCATTTTCCCTTTTTCCTCCTCTATGATGGGAAATAAAAGTTTTACCCCAAGAAAAGTAAAGAGAGCCAAACTCACAACCCATAGCACAAATAAACATTTCCCGTACCAGTTGTATTTAGTTCACAATTAAAATTAAAGCAATTTGCACAAATATCAATGACACTCCTCATTGTTTACTACAATGTGCTTTTTTGAGATCCAGATGAAGCTTCATCCAAGAAAACAATTGAAACTGGGCGAAGCAGCTCATCTGGGTTATATGGTTTTCATTTTCCTTGTAATTTTCACTGTCCATGACAGTCCACCATGTTTTTCAGTTGCAGCAACCAACTAGGGAACAGGTTCAGTTCACGCTGGCTAGCCCGGGGTAACCACAACTATCTTAATGTGCATTGTGCGGGATAGTGAATTTCCTGGATACCAATTGTTCTGACCAAGTATTTTCCAGGCAAAAACAATTGGCATAGGAAAGTAGCCCATAGGTTTTCAGCTCTTTGATTTGTCATCAGAAGACTCTTCAATGTAGGAGTTTTGGCATGATTATTCATTTCCACCAATGGTTTTGTATATGATACTGTCTATGGAACAATGAAAGTATGCAACCCCATAATATAACTTGCTCTCTCTCCCACATTTCAAGGGCCAATGCCTTGTGGTTGCATCGTTATTTCTAAGGTACCAAAAAACAAAAGTGGACCACTAAACCCCGAAATAGCTGGCTGAGTATTGTAGACAATTCAGTAAACATACCTACAACCGGAAGCCATGAGGGAGACAGAAAGAGACTCACCATTAGAGGGGAAAATCATATGAAAAATAAGAATAAACAGTAACCTCCTTCTCCCACCCCCACCCCCACATGAGCACACAAAAGGATGACCAAGTTACCCCGCTACAAGTCTAATCAAGGAAACATCAATAAATCTGATACAGACTCATTGATCCTGCTGAAGCTAAAAGGTAGGGGGAAAGATACTAAATCATGCAAGCCCCGGTGCCGATCATCTCCTTTTATTTGCTTAACTGGAGGAAGGAGAACCGCTAGTTTGGAAAGAGAGGAACTTGAGATGCTTTGAAGATAGATATAATCATATTTCAGAGGATAAAGGCTAACACCGGAACTTGCTACTGAAGTTGAATCTATTTTAGAGCTCCTAGGATCCCTGCAGTTTTAGACGGGTGTACTTTTGCTTTCTCACTTTTGCCACAATGTACAGATCTCCAGCACAGTCTCAGCGCTGTATGAATAAAACCTTATCATTTCACCAAAAAAAAAAAAGGAATAACTTTTTTGGTTCCTTGGTAGCTTGGTACTTCTCTTTCAGAGGGAGAATTTTCAGCTGGCAAGACTCAGATTTAAAGTCAGTTCATTGATTGCTCTGGGATTCGTTTCAATTGAAGATTCTGTCAATAGTAACTATTCTTCTCTCGGTTGTCCTTCCATGCGGAAGCTTGATTCTGTTAGTTAATAGAAACCCAAGGTTCAGAACTCTTCTGGGCCTAATTATGTAAAAGGTGCTAAAAGCATACTGTTTTTGGCATAGCAACATCTACCCCGACTCAGCAAGAACCTTTCCTGCCTAGCCAATACCCTCAAGGCCTAGAAATCTCTTGAGTGGAATAAACATTGTACAGAATAATAACACAACTATTATGTAAAGCTCTACTTCTGGAACAAACCAACTAGTGCGATCCTAGATTTTTGTCTTAGATCCACCTTTGTAGTTCAGAACTTCCCATAACAAGATCCCTCAGATAGCTCCACAAAATTCTTACAGGAATAAAACACATGCTGACAATCATCATATATCGACAGGGAAAACGAATTTGGAAATGCTATTCATACAATTTCCTTTTGCACCTACCACAAAATAGATTACACTTCCATCCTTTTGAGCAGAACAATTGTAAACAGGCACCAAAATGAATTTAAATTTGTGCACTAAATTTTGAACAAACAACCAGGAAGTAACATCGTTCTGCGTACATATGAAAAAGCAAAGCAGAAATAAGATATCTAAATGGCATCTTACATCTATCTCCTGCGAGATATGTAAGCAGATCTAAGAACACATGTTATAATCAGTGAACGAGTTAATAGTTTACCATTTGGGATATCTTTCAGTGCAGTTCCGCGACCCTGCAAATCAGATGGATCATTAACTTAATGTCACGAACAATAATAAACTTGCTGTGCAGGCCCAACTTCTGGAATCATAGAAGGGAGATTAAAAACAACAATGTTAGTACTGCTATCATGGAACCTTTTCAATATGGATATCCTTGGTGGCTTCTCCTTCAATAGATGCAACCAGCCTTTCAACAGATTTGCGTTGGCGTACAGGGCGTTCAATTGTTGAAGCCGGAGGTGTTTTAGGCTCTTGCTCCTTCTTGTCCTCCACTTGCCTTTTCCTCTTCCTGTCTTTCTTCAGAGCACCACTCTCAGACTTATCACTTTCCTTTGATCCTTTCTCAACTTCATGCTTATCAACGCTTTCTTTTTGTATGTCGGCCACATCTTTATCTGGTGTTTCACCAGTTTCTTCTTCCATTAGCTCAATCTTGGTTTCTGGCTTCTCTTCCGCTCCTTTGCTTTCCTTGTCAGCTTTCTCTTCTTCTTCATCTTCCTTACTTTCTTTCACCTCTTCTTTATCTACATCCATGTTCTCAGTGTCCTTGTTATCACCCTCTTTTTTCTCTTCTTCTACTTCTTTTAATTCATCCTTTTCAGCATTCTTCTTCTCTGTTAATACTTCACCCTTATCTTCCGCTGGCACGTTTTCATAGGCAGATGCCTCAGCCAATTCAGAGGCACATTCACCCTCTCCCATAACTAAAGTTCTACTCCTAATAGGCCCAAAAAAAGGCCTCGATCACCTAGCAAAAGATAACCTGCATATGTATCAAATCGTAAGCTTGAGGAACTCGGGAACTGGCTACTAAAATACACAAATTTCCGCGGCAATTGCGAAGAACCAATGAAGCTTAAAGAGAAAAGAAAAAAAGAAGCAATATTTTCTCTAAAATTACATGCAAATGATGCACCCAACATGTTATCACATATCAGATACCTCAAGCTCTTCACATCCACCCACACAGAGAGCTACACAGACAAACATACAAAATAAGTTACGTAAGCTGGATGAATTGTCTACATAATTTACTATTTTACACTGGCCTCAACCTGGACCGGCTATCTTCGAAGGAGTTAACCCCAAAAAAGTCAATTGACAAAAAATTCCATCATTTTAATTTTTACCAGTCAATTTAAAAAGAAAACATAAACTACAAAAAAATTAAAAAAAAAATGTATATCGAAATCCAACACAACATCAAGAATGCTTAATAAAGGAACGAAAATTTTAAGCTGAATTTGCATGTTATCAGTTACCTCAAACTCTTCACACACACACACACACGCAGAGAGAGAGAGTAAGCCTCAATCCCTAACAAGTTAAGGTCAGCTAGATTAATCCTCTACATTATACACAATTTTACACTCCATCAACCTAAACCAGCTATATACAAAGGAGTTAACCCCAAAAAGACAATTGACAAAAGAAATTCATAATTTTAACTTTTACCTGAAAATTCAAAAAAGAAAAACCTAAGCTGCTAAAAATCCAAGCTTTCTGCAATAATCCAATTCACGGACATTAAGAATGTAAATACTAAGCTAAATTTGCATGTAATTAGTAAGAATTAAGTACTTACAGTGAGTTGAGCGCTAAAGTTTCTGAGTTCTACTCTCGTAAGTGAGAACCTTTGTCGTTTTACTTCATGCAGCGGACGTCAGTTTCGGATTTTAAATGGAGTTAATTGTCATTTTCGGATTAATATGCGCACGATTCTGGAAATAGGACCGAGACCGACGGTTGTGATCGCTTTGCCGCCTGAGTGACGGTGGAGATTGCTTTTATTTAATTTCGACGTGTAAACTATATATAATTGTACAGATTATCACACTAATTGTACCTTTTTATATGTTGAGTATTAATTTTAAATATATATATATATATATATATATATATATATATATTAAGGCAAGTCGAATCCTAGTTATACTCTAATTAATATGATCTCCTAGTTTTACTGATAACTAAAATTATTTTCTTTGACTTGTTACTAGTATTAGTACCCGCGCGGATGCGCGGACACTAATCATGTCAAATATTTAAGTTATTTGGATTGTATGTAAATAATATTAAAAAAATTTACACTTTCTCAATATATATGGATAATCATTGGATATTAACTACATGAAAAAAAAATTAACCATTTCTTCTATTTTTCTTTTTTGATACCATTCTTGCCAGTGTCATTGGATCCTAAAAATAGTCAGGAAACAAAATAATAACTCATATTTATGGCAAAACAATCAAATGTTGAGACAATGAATGACTCTTTAGATAAGACTTAACTCTTTTACTACTACTTAAACTCTTATTTGGCGTGTTCATATCTCTTAAAAATATTTCTTTCTTAAAATTTTAGTTTCTAAAATATTATTTTTCAATAATAATTATTTTTATAATAATATAAATGAAAATATTATTCGTAATTCAAAACTCATTTTAATTGGCTATCTAAAAATATAAAAATTTCTTTAGCTAGTGAATTTTCTTACTCCATTTTGATATTTGACATTAACCATGTTAAATATCTGAGTTATTTGAGTTATATGTAAATAACCTTAACATTTAAACCTTCTAAATAAGTATAGATAACCGTCAGATATTAAATTATTAAGAAACACTATGAAAAAAGGCTAACATTTTTTCTCAATTCTCGTAGTGATAATTTTATTTTTACACTATTCTCATAGGTGTCATTGGACCTAAAATAGCCACAGTGTAAAATAATAACTCATATTTATGGCAAAGCACAAAGGTTGACACGTAGAAGAACGATTCTTTGATTATGACGTGACTTCTTATACACACTTGAACTCTTATTTGGTATGATTTTTATCTTTCAAAAAATATTTCTATTTGAAATTTTAATTTCTAAATTTTTATATATATTATATAATGATTATCTTTATAATGATGCAAGTGAAGAAATTATCCTTGATTTAAAATTCACTTTAATCGGCTATCTAAAATTTTAAATAAGTCTTTGGCCGGATTTATTTCAGTATGACTCCACTTTATGTTTATCGATATCTCTAGCCCCAGAATTTAAATTTTCAATACCCTATATATACAAAAGTTTTGTTCTTTGAATCATTAAATGTTAAATTAGTTGATTATTATTATTATTATTATAAAATATTGCATATATTGTCTTAAAATTGTCAAGTAGTTTAATTTTCGACACCATACTTGGCTTAACCTCAATGCAAACTACTCAAATTGCATTCCAATTCAAATTATCATATCAGTTAGTTAGTAATAGTAATTTTTAAAAACGTCACATGATGTAAATTAAAAAAAAATATTCTAAGATATCCTTATCTTATAATCTATGTATTTGAGTTGAAAAAAATATATTTGAAATCGAGGAGATTAACTTTAAAATTTTTTAAACAAAGATGAAACATAAGAAGAAGAAATTTATTGTCATCTTTTATTTCTCGTTTTTAGATCTTTCTAACATTTTTTCAATATATATTTTCTTTTATCTTATTTGTTATGTCATTATTTCTTTTGTTACAAAAAATTAATTTATTTCACTATAAAAGGATGAGTTTTAATAAAAATTGTCTACATATGAACTTTAATTATATTTTTATTCTTTGGTTGAAATTATTTCATATTTTTCTTTTGGCTTTATCTAATCAGCCTAAATAGGTGCTCACCGGACCACTTAAATTAAAAAAATTGAATGATGTGTAATTTATGTATAATCCATATATAATATGTGTATAATCGTTGTTATCGGTATATCATCTATTTATATTAGCTATAAAAAGTAAACAATAAATATGACCGAATATTATATAAATATTGCAAAAAATTTTGATTTTTTGAGTTTATCCATGATATAACTTCTATTATAATAATTTTAAAACTCTCTACTAATGTTCAAAAATATCTTATCTTTTTATTATCTTTGAATTATAAAAAGTAAAGAGTTTTTTCGAAACAATTTGTTTACATTTTTAAAAAAATATTTCACATCATACCAATCTTTTATTTATATGCACTCTTTGTTACACTTAAAGTCGCTATCGAAACTATCAATTAGAAACCAATTTCTCTCTTGTTGAGTTTGCAAAAAAAAAAAACTTCCACATAATCTAATGATTCAAAACAAATATTATTCAACGAAAAAAATATTATACCCTTGCAATATTGGCTTGACTACAGCTAAATGAAGGGGTTTCATCTTATATGCTTCAATTCCTTGAATGTGCTAAATTGAAATTAATGATAGCAATTCTATAGCCAAAGTTTTGTTATTTGTTTGATGTCCATTTATGCAAATTGACTCTTCAAACAAATATTCTTCAAGAAGAAAAAAGAAACAACTTTTTTTTTTTTTTAATATTGACTAATTTTGTGATGTTTCTTTTATATATGTAAGTAAGCTTTTATTTTGTTTTGTAAACTCTTTTTTGTTATTTAAATAAACATAGACATGTACCCTATATATTATATTTATTTTAAAAGAATTTCGTTTTATTCAAATCTAGCTACAATGTTTCAAAGAACTATACTTACAGGATTTTGAATGTGAAAAAGTTTTATAGTTATATGGATTTTTTTTTTTTTTTGCTAGAGGCGAAGTAGTATTTAACTAATTAGAAAAAATAATAAAAGTTCCTAACATGTTTGTAAATGATCATTAACCAATAAGTATGATAACATGATAAAAAAAAGATAAATTTTATTTTTAATTTAAACTCGAATGTTATAACTTTATCTATAAATTCAAAATTATCTTTTAATTCAAATTCCATATATATATATATATATATATATATATATATATATATATATATATAAAATTTGTATTTAACTAAAATAGTCAAATATAGAATAAAGTTACCATATACTATTGACATTTATTAGCTTGCCACTTGGCTTAACCATAATGTCAATTATATATGATAACTTTCTTGCTTTAATATATATATATAGATATAGATTACTAATTAATCCTCGCGCCTTAAATATTTTGAATCTTGGAGATTCTGAACTTGAAAATTTCTTTTTGATCTGGGTGGTCGAAGAAATTTTAAAAAACAATTCTAGTTGATAAGCATCCAAAGTTTTCTTTTCTATTTTGTGATGCATTTATTTACTTTTTATGGTTTAGTCGCCATAAAACCTAATAATAATAATAAAATAATAATAATAATAATAATGCACAAATTTTTTTATGTAAAATAAAAAAGATCAAAAAAAAAAGTTTGAATTAACCAATATTTTCGATGAGAAAAGTAAATGATAAACTATCTGGCTGTAACAACTCACTTTCTTGTTTATTACTATTACAGTATTACAGAAAATAAAGTTTTATATTACAATATCCGTAGCGACCTCTTTAATCATCACCAAGAGTAGTATTATATGTCGTTGTTTGTAGTAACGACCTACCTAACATCTATTGTATGGACTATTTGTATCTCTTTGACGAGCTTCGTCGCCACAAAAGCTAATAATAAAATAACAAGAACAAAACAACAAGGGCGGACGCACGTCACATATCCATGCCTTGGAGAAAATTTTAGACAAAGCTTGTATAAGAAAAATAATATATTTGGATTCAACAACTCACTTTCATGTTTATTACTGTTAAAGCATTACATAAAATAAAATTTTCAGTACTAGATATGCCTGGCAATCTTCTTAGTCGCAGCCAAAAGTAACTTATAAAAGGTTTTCAATGACAACCCATACAGTCGCACCACAAGTTATGCTATATATGTCGCCTTTCCAAGTGGAGGCATAGCTAAAATCGTTTTCATTATTTACTTTTTGTGGCGATTTCAGTTTATGTAGCGATCTTTTGTGGCGACTATGGCGACCAATTTAGTCGCCACGAAGAGTTATGGGATATGTCAGCGTTGAGAGAGGCAACCAACTAAAGTCATCTTTGTGGCGCAATATTTATATATTGTGGCGACTAAAGGTTTTAGTGCGACCTGCCGCGGCGATCCTTTTAGTCGCCACCAAAAGTTATACTAATATGTCGCCAACCTAGCGAAAATTTATTTGTGCACGTTGTTTACTTTTGTGGTGAGCTTTGTGGTCACAAAACCTAATAATAGAAATATAATACCACCAATAAGGGTTGTGGTAGAGTGGTAAGTACTCCTTCATCCTTAACCAGAGGTCTTGAGTTCGAGCCCTGGGTATGGAGTCGCGTTTGTTAGGGAGCGCTTTATCCCCCAATGTGAGACTTCCCAGTGCGAATCTGGATTAGTCGGGCCCCAATGTGGGCACCGGATGAGAAATCAAAAAAAAAAAAAAAATACCAAAGGAATATATGACATTACTTTTGGCGGCCAGAAAATCATCACTGAATACTTAAAAACTTCTTTCCTGTAGTGAATACTTTAATTTTGAATTAACATTCAGAACATCAACTTCTTTGGATGCTATAATATCAATCATCATAAATCATACATTCTTTTCTGTCAATGAAAGAATGTTCATATCTCAAATTGGTAAATCTATTTCACTGTATATTCAAAATCAAATAATGGCTTGTTGTCTTTCAAGTTCCACAAGAAAAAGGCGCTTCACAGTTTCTGTAAACAAACTTTCAGGAGAAACCCAATTCAGATTCAAGACTACAATAACCGAGTCGAACAGCCCACCAGCAAAGCCACAATAACTGTTGTTTTTACCTTAATCTACACTGCAT